ACAACGAGGACGCCTTTTGCTGAAGGAGATGAGAGAGAGCCTTGGTAAAGCGGATGGGCTCGGCAAGTGGGTCAGGCAGGCAGGCAGGCATGAATGAATGTCAACGCATGGAGCAGCAGACGAGAGCAGGCGTGCTGACAATGTGATGTCAACATCTTTCATTTTCCCATCTCCCTCACCCCCTTTCTCCTCCGCACTAACCCGCACAAACCATCAGCATGCCCCTCGTCTCAAGGAGCTGATGGATCCCAGGGCGAAGCGAGGGCGAAGAGAAGAGAGTGGGCAGGCTGGCGCAGGACAAGGCAGGGAGCCGACGAGCTGATAAAGTCTCTCCTTCCTTTCAATTGCACCCCTCCCCCCCCTTCTCCTCCACCCACCAGGACGCCCCTCGCCTCAAGGAGCTGATCGAGCCAATGGCAAAGCGCGTGGGCAAGTGGGTGCAGACAAGAGGCAGACAAAGGCGCGCCTCTCCATTGCTTTGCACCCCTCTCCATTGCTTTGCACCCCTCTTCCCTTTCGCATCCCCACCTCTCCACCACCCCCCCCCCCCCCCCCCCCCCCCCCCCCCAATTCCACCCACCAGGACGCCCCTCGCCTGAAGGAGCTGATCGAGCCCATGGCAAAGCGCGTGGGCAAGTGGGTGCAGGATAAGGTGCAGGACGCATGCCAGCCATGCCGCCCCTGCAACTCCACCATAGTGCTTGTGGGTACGTGCAACCCCACCGTACTGCTTGTGGGTACGTGCAACTGCACCCTACTGCTTGTGGGTATGACTAGAGGCTCTAGAGGCTCTGGAAGAACGAGCACCTCACAGGCAAGTGGGTGCAGGATAAATTGCAGGACGCGTGCCAGCCATGCCTCCACCATAGTGCTTGTCGGTAGGTGCAGGTGCGGGTGCAGGTGCAGGTGAAGGTGAAGGTGAAGGTGCAGGTGCAGGTGCAGGTGCAGGTCCAGGTGCAGGTGCAGGTGCAGGTGCAGGTGCAGGTGCAGGTGCAGGTGCAGGTGCAGGTGCAGGTGCAGGTGCAGGTTCAGGTTCAGGTGCAGGTGCAGGTGCAGGTGCAGGTGCAGGTGCAGGTGCAGGTTCAGGTTCAGGTGCAGGTGTAGGTGCAGGTGCAGGTGCAGGTGCAGGTGCAGGTGCAGGTGCAGGTGCAGGTTCAGGTTCAGGTGCAGGTGCAGGTGCAGGTGCAGGCGCAGGCGCAGGTGCAGGTGAAGGTGCCCATTTGCCTCAGAGCAAAGCGCATGGGCAAGTGGGTGCAGGGTAAAGTGCAGGACGCGTGCCAGCCATGCCGCCCCTGCAACTCCTCCATAGTGCTTGTGGGTAGGTGCAATAATCTTCTGCCTTGTGTCATGCTACGTGCTTCATAGCCTTCCAAGCTGTTGTGCATCGTGAATGAACTGCCATGTACGTATGTGCTGCTACTCCATGGCAGTCTGTCTGTCTGTATGTATGTACAGACAGTCCATGCACAACTCCCCCCTCTCCATCCGTCAGCCTCTCCTCACAACCCCCCTCCCCTCCCCCCGCTGTCCTCATGTCTCCCACTCGTTGATGGGGTGAGACAGCATGATGATACTTCCTCCCTCTTCCTCCCTTTCGTGCTGTCTCTCCATTGCCCCCTCCCTCTCCTCTCCCGCTCTCCAGTTTTGAGGCGCCTCAAAACTAGACTCCTATCATGCTGTCTCTCCATTGGCCCGTCCCTCTCCTCTCCCGCTCTCCCCTCTCCCCCCCCTTCACCCCTCCTGTGTTCTGCTCCGCCGTCACCCCCAACCCGACAGGCAAGCCCTGTCGGCTTAACGCCTTCCCCACTACATGCCAAAGGAGGCTGTCCCCCGCTGAGGTGGACGATGAGGAGGATATGGAAGGGCCGAGCGACGACAGGGTGGAGGGGGAAGTTGGGGAGGCGGGGGGAACAGGAAGAAGGAGTTTGGTTGGCTGGAGTGGGGAGGACTTGGAAGGGCCTGATGATAATAGGGCGGAGGGGGAAGAGGGGGAGGGGGGGGGAGCGGGGGGAACGGGAAGGAGGAGCTTATTTGGTAGGATAGGGGGTGGTGGGAGCCTCTCGCCTTGGGATGGGGAGGACTTGGAGGGGCCGGGTGATGACAGGGTGGAGGGGGAAGGAGGAGGGGTAGGTGGAACGGGAAGGAGGAGTTTATTCGGTTGGAGGGGGAAGAACTTGGAAGGATCGGATGACGACAGGGTTGTCGCGATGAGAGGAGGGGAAGCAAAAGGGGCGGGGATAACAGAAGCGGAGATGGAGGAAGGGACTATGGAAGGAGGGGAGGTGGAAGGAGGAGAGGTGGAAAGGGGAGAGGTGGAAACAGGGGAGGTGGAAACAGGGGAGGTGGAAACAGGGGAGGTGTATGGAGGAGGCAGGGAGGAAGGGGAGGTGGAGGCGGGACGAGCAGGTGGTGGAGGAAGGTCGCTCTTGCAATGGGGGGGTTGGGGTGGGAAGGGCAAAGGGGGCAAGGGGGAGGGCGAGCGAGAAGGGAGGAGTGTGTGCAAGCGGGTATCTCCCTTGCACGCGATCCTCGCAGCAGACTCCGCGGATAGGAGGAAGCTGATGAGGGAGCAGGAGGAGAGCAGCAGGAAGAGGCCGCTGTGCCGAGATGGCACGAGTCCGGGGTACTGGAGGGACTACAGCACGTGGGAGCCGTACAGCTGCCGATACAGGTGGGTGGTTGATACAGGTGGGTCAGTCTCAGGTGCGTGCGTCTCAACGCCTCAGAACAAGGATGGCGCGAGCCCGGGGTACTGGAGGGACTACAGCACGTGGGAGCCGTACAACTGCCGACACAGGTGAGCATGGGAACAAGGTGAGCCTCTGCCTCTGGTGTGTGCGTGATAAGGCTCAAGGGGACGGGGGAGAGGAGGAGACCTATGAGGGAGCAGGAGGAGAGCAGCAGGAGGAATATCTACTTCTTCCATGCCCGCTCCCCCCCCCCCCCTCCCGCCCACCTTCCTTCCCCTTCTCCCTCTGGCCCCCCACCCATCCTATTCCCCACAGGGAGTACACGAAGCAGGAGGTGCGCAAGTGCCTGCGCTACAAGTGGGTGCACTTCTTTGGAGACTCCACCACCCGCCACCTGGCTGCAGAGTTCTCGCGCCTGGCAGGAGTGCAGCGCAGGGCGTGGGACTCGGACAAGAACAGGACCGCCCTCATGGACACGGGCGATGGGGACGACAACTCGCCCCTGCCCAGGATTACCTACCTCTTCCGAGGGAAGATGGCGCACCAGCGACACCCCATTGTGAGTCTCCTCGTGTACCCCCTGATGCACAAGAGAAACTTGCCTCACAGGTGTGCAGTGCAGTGCAGGGCGTGGGACTCAGACACGGGGGATGCCATAATTCTCCGTTGCCTAGCAACACCCGATTGTGAGTCTTCTTCAGGGGGAAGATGGCCCACCAGCAATACCCGATTGTGAGTCCGTTGCACCTTGTGCACTAGGGAATCTCGACTGGCAGCGCAGGACATGGGACCCAGATAAGAGCCACACTGCTCTGATGGACACAAGGGATGGGAATGATAACTCGCCTCTGCCCAGGATTACCTACCTGTTTCGAGGGAAGATGGCCCACCAGAGACACCCCGTAGTGAGTTCCCGTTTGCACCCCCAAGGTGTGCCTTGTACTTGTACTGTCGTGTGCCTTCTGGAGAGTCTCGCTTGGCCGGCGTGCCCTGCAGGGCATGGTCTCGGACAAGGACCGCACTGCTCTCATGGGCATCCGGCTTCTTTGGGCCCAGTGCACGGCAGCCGGACACGATGGTAATGAGCATAGCAGCGCATTAGGTGATCGGGTGGGCCAGGAGGCCGCCGCCCGAACTGGACTTGCGGAGGTGGCACGTGGTGATCTGATTGACCTCCTTACATTCCCTCTCCCTTTCTCTCCTATTGTCTCGGTTTGTCGCTTCTCCCCTCTCCTCCATTCCTTAGGCCGGCGTCCCCCCTGAAAGGGACCTGAACAACGATTTCCTAGAGGCGTTCAGAGACTCCAGTGCGAAGCAGCCCGACACGATGGTGATGAGCATAGGGGCGCACGAGGTGATCGGGTGGACCAGGAGGCCCCCGCCTGACCTAGACCTGCGCACGTTCAAGCGCGACACGGAGGAGGCGATCGCGCTACTGAATGGCACGTTCACTAAGGGGAGGCTGGTGTGGTGGAAGGCACACTACATATGGCCAGGTGAGATGCACTGTACAGAAAATAATCACTCACATACATCGTTCCGTAGAAGAATGCGCATATCTGGTGTTACCACCGGGAGTTCATGTTAGGCTTGCATCTGGCTCAAAATAATCCAACTTTCACTCCTTTTGATATGTTCAGGGAAGGTTCAAGGGCAAGACTACTTCACCGTGCGTACCTTCCACGAGCTCTACCAAGCGTATGCATATAGGCGCATGGCGGAGCAAGGCTACACTATGATGGATCTCTACCAGACAACCAAGGATAGATACGACCAAGTCTTTAGAGGGGATGGCGCACACTATGTCGGCCTGTGCCTGAAGCTCCATGTGCAGATTCTCGCGAACACCCTCTGCAACCACTTGCACAAGTCATGATATACTTAAGAAGACTCGTTTTGTAGACCACTTTACTCCGTTATATCCTTGATTCGGTAATGGTGAATCTTAGGACACTAGTCACTTTGTAACGAGTACGGCAGTGCTTGGTCACCTCCAGCAGCATTTGGCGGATTTCTTGATTGCTGGATTTGTCAGTTCGCCAGCAGTCAAAGAGGGTTTTCCACAAAACGACAGCTCGCAAAAAACCATCTCAAACACCCCCCTGTCATCCGTTGTCGAAATTCTACCTTTCGCCACACCTGGATAACTATGGCTCATGTAACATTTCTTTTTCGCTGAACTCGTCGTTAAACCTCGCACAATCCCCGTCCCGCCTTTCTTGCTCCTCCCCTCTTCCATGTCCCTCGCAAGGGTCTTCTTCAGGCTTCACTGAAATACCATTTGCGGAGTTCGCTGGTCCTTCCTGATACAGCAAAGACAGAACAGGACCTCCAGATTTCCTAGCATGATTGCTAACTCCATGGCTCTTGCTGATTCTTGTTACTGTAGATCCCTTGCTTCTTGGTACATATTCCGCTATTTCGTATGAAGGATTTTTTAGCTATGCTGCATACGTCGGGACCAGCATTACGCTTCTGCTGACGCACGTTACGGCGGCAAGCATACTGAAGTGCGACATACGCCGTTCGTTGGCGAGTCGCTAATGGCGCTTCTTTGAATTTCCAGTTTAGCAGACCCCTACTAGAACCAGCGTGCTAGCGACAGCTAACTAACTCGGATAAATACATCAAACGAGTGGTTGCTAGCCATGTCAGCACTCCTCCGGAAACGAGCGAAGCTGAGCTGAGCGTGCCCTCCGTCACAGTAACGTAATCGCTGAAAGTCCGCCACTGAAAATGGTACGCATTCGACGCGTTTGGCTCGCTGCATTTTCAATCTACCATTTCCAGTTTACCATTTCTCTTTCTTTGGTGGCGTGTTTACCTTCACAGTTTACCATTTCCAGCATTTTGTGTTACAATTTCCAGCACGTTGTACTCCCGCAGCTTATCTTTTCATCTCTTCTATCCTTCAACGATTTTCCCGTTCCCGTTTCATCTCTACCTGTTACCCACCTTCCCGCATCCAACTCCCCTATTCACCCGCCTTTATTCCCCGTAGGCGGACTCTCCTCCCCGAGATGCCATGGATAGGCATAGCACCAGCAGTGCGAGCAGCGACAATGCTGGTCGTAAACAACGCAAGGAACGGAAGCACCATAAAGAGAAGCACCATAAAGATGACAAAGGGGAGGGAGCGGAAGACACGGAGAAGAGAGTGGAAGAAGGCAACGGGAACCTGGAGGACGAGCAGCATTCACACAGAGAGGACGAGAAGGAAAAGAAAGAGAAGAAGGAAAAGAAGGAGAAGGAAAAGAAGGAGAAGGAAAAGAAGGAGAAGGAAAAGAAGGAGAAGGAAAAGAAGGAGAAGGAAAAGAAGGAGAAGAGGGACAAGGGGGAAAAAGGGGATCATAAAGAGAGGAAGGAGAGGAAGGAAAAGAAGGAGCTAAGAAAGGCAATGACGCCCAGAGCAGGAGATTTGTCTAGTCACAGAGGGGGGTTTGAGGCTCCTAGTGGGGAGCTGCGGAGGACCAGGAGTGGGGAGTCGCACTTAGACAGGGTGAAAGAGGAGGAGGAGTGGAGGAGGGAGGGGGAGGGAGTTGAGCGAGCAGATGGGAGGACAGGGAGAGAAAATGGAGGGATGGAGGTGACGAATGCTATGGGGGCTGTTGCGACAGGCATTGGAGGAGAGAGTAGGGAGATGGGGGATGCCACAGGTGCAGCAGTGGCAGCAGTTCCGGTGAGTGGGGCGAGTGGGGCGAGTGGGGAAGACGCCACCAAAGAAAGAGAAGGCTCGGGTTTGGATTCCAGCCATGCGAAGGGCTTGCCTGTTGGTGACTCGAAAAATCATCACGTGGAAGGTTCCAAAAAGGTGGTTGATCCCGAAGACCTTCTTGCTCTTCAGGAGAGGTACAAGGCTGACCTGGAGGTGAAAGAGGCGAGAATACGCGAGCTCGAGCAGGCGCAAGTAGCCCTGGAGGGAGAGAGAGCGGGACTGGAGGAGGAGAAACGGCGAGGGGAGGAGGAGAAGCAGCAGCTGCAGCATCAGACGCGGCACCTGGAAGCGGAGAAGGCAAGACTGGAAGCAGAGAAGGAGCAACTGGAAGGCGCGAAATCGAGATTGGAAGAGGAGAGGCAGCAGTTGCAGGGGGAGAAGCAGCAGCTGGAGGGAGAAAAGAGCGAACTGGAGGCAGAAAGAAGTCAACTGGAGGAGGAGGTGGAGTATCTATCCCAGGAGCTGGAGAGCGAGCAGGAGATAGCCGCGGAAGCAGCTGAGATGGCGCAGCGGGAGTGGGCGGCGCGGCAGGAGGCGCTGCGCCAGCTGGCAGAGGTGGAGCGCCAGCTGGCGATGGAGGCACGCGAGGCGGACGTTGCAGCCGCTGCCGCCGATGCTGCTGCTGCTGCTGCGGAAGCGGTGGCGGCTAGTGCTGGTGCTGCTGATTCCGGTGCTGCTGGTGCTGGTGTTGCTGGTGGTGGTGCTGATGTAGTGCAAGGAGAAGAAGCAGCAGGCGGGGCATCTGACGGAGAGACTTTTGAGTCGACTCAAAAGTCATCTGACGTTGGAGCATCCGACGGAGAGACCGTTATCCTGCACGGATCGTTGGACGCTGATGCTGCTGCCCGTCTGGCCCATTCCATCCGGTCACCTTCGTTTGGAGCACTGGAAGGGGAGCAGACGCCCTCGTTTGAAGCACAGGCCACTGGAGCTGGCGACGCAGCTGAAAGGGGTGCTGCAGCAAGCACCAGCGGCGTGGCAACTGACCCCTCGGGCTACACGTCAGACTTTTCAGGCTTCGACTTGAAGCTTCCTGCCTCCCCAGATGAGATCATGCAGCCTCGGCTAACCCCCTCCCCTTCCACTTCCCAACTTCCACCGCACTCAACCGCTCACACAGCCCCTAAGCCAACACCGCACTTCACCGCTTTTTCGACCTCTAAGTCGTTCTCTGCAGCTGCTTATGCGGACCGTGCCCAGAACCCCAGTTCTCACCAACCCAGTCGCACAGGCTCGGCAGCCCTGAAGCTGGACATGCTGGCTCGGATCCGATCCGCCACGTTCGTCCTCCGGAACAGCAGCAGCCGCGGAAACACTCCAAGCACCTCCCCCAGGGCCAAAATTGAACCCTCCATGATGGTTCCTTCCACTTCCGCAGGGACTCAAGAAGGGGGAGACATGGAAGAGCTGCCGATATGGCTGCTGCTGCAGCAGCACCGCCAGCAGCAGCAATTGTTGGCAGCTGCATTAGCAGCAGATTCAACAGCTGGGGCTGCTGTCGCTGCTGCTGCCGCCCGAATCGCCGGAGCGGATCCTGATGCGGATGCGGATGACACATCTCATCCCCTGGTGCACCCCCTGGAGAAGGGGAGGGAAACCAGGGAAACAGAGACTCGGTCCAAGTCCCCTCACTGCAGACAGGTTGGTCGATCACCCATGGGCCGGCAGCAAGCGAGTGGCATCACAGCAGTATCAGCAGTATCCACAGCAAGGTCGGCCGCCCATGGCACTCGCACCCCCTTGCGCCGGCGCTGCCTCACCGGTATCACCTCGTCCTCCCTGCCGCCCTCCCTCTCTCCATTCGCCACTGCCGCCTCCCCTCTCTCCTCCTTGTCCACTGAGGGCTTGCGTGTTGGAGCAGCACAGGGACAAGGTATCGCAGCGGAAGAGGCTCAGCTGTCGCTGTGGCAGAGGGTGCATGGCACTGGCTTCGTGCATGTGCTGCTGCAGCTGTCGCTGCACGGGGTGAACCGGCTCGAGGACCGCCTGGGGAGAGCAGAGGCAGCAGCAGCAGCAGCTGCTGGTTCTGGTGCTGGTGGTGGTGGTTCAGCTGCTGCCTCTGCAGGCCCTGGCTTGTTCTCCAGCCTCTCTTTCAGCCGATTGTTCCTGCCGGTTGCAGCCACAGCCGCAGCAACAGCAGCTGCCACAGCCACAGGAACAGCCGCAGCCGCAGCCACAGGTGCAGGTGCAGGTTCAGGTGCAGGTTCAGGTGCAGGTGCAGGTGCAGGTGTAGGTGCAGCCAACAGTTCGTTTGAAAAACAAGCAGCTGGTTCCAATATCACTTCACCAGGTGCGGCCGGCACCGAGCTCTTGAGATTTGGCGCTGGAAGCAACAGCAGAAGCAGTGGCAGCAGCAATGGCAACAACAGCAGTGGCGGTGGCAGCAGCACCACCAGTGGCGGCAGCACCATTGGCAGCAGCAGCAGTATCGCTGCTCTAGCACTTTCTCTCAGCTCTCGCTTCTCCTTTTCTCATTGGGCGGACGAAGGCAAGCAGAAGCCCAGCAGTGAAGGCCCAGGCAAGCTCGTGAGCGAAGCTCGGCTGGAGGCTCGGCAAGAGACTTGGCAAGTTGCTTGGAAGGAGGCTCGGGAGCGCGGAGTGGAGCTGTACGTGCTGCAGCTACAGGCGGAGGCTCTTAAGGCTACAGCTGGTGTGCTCTGGGCTGAAGCTAGTGTGGAGGAGAGGACTCTGCAAAAACTAAGGCTGGAGAAAGCAGATGTAGCAGAAAGGATGGGGGGGATAGAGGCCACGCTTGGTGTAGTGACAGGGGAAATGGAGGCTCTTGAGGGGAGTGGGGGAGGATGGGAGGGGGGGGAAGGGATGGGTGGGGATGCAGGGCGAGTGAGTGAGGGTGAAAGGGAAGGTGGGGGTGGGATGGGCTTGGAGATTGGGGGAGCAGCAGAGAACTCAGACGGCGTGGTAAAGACAGGCGGGGAAGTCGAGGAGGAGGATGGGGTGAAGTCTTCTCCAGACGTGGTAACTGCCCATGGTGCGGATGCCTCAAGATATGGCGGCAGCAAAGGGGAGGAGACGAGTGGAGAGAAAGGGGAGCAGAAGCACTCACAGCCGGCTGACCAGAAGGTCTCACTGCCGGCTGATCAGAAGCACTCACTGCAGAAATCCCGAGATCATCTCCTGAAGGCCTTATCAGATGCAAGGAAGCAAGTCAAAGTGCTGGACCAGGTGAGTCAACGCTGGTCAAAGGCTGGACCAGGTGAGACAACACTGGTCAAAGGCTGGACCAGGTGAATCAACAATGGTCAAGGGTTGGACGAGGTGAGCCGACACTTCATTCTGCCTGCCCCTTCCCCTTCCAGCTCATCACTTTGCCTTCTGTCCATGTTCTACTCAAACCCCTCTTTTGTCTTTTCTACCTTTTCTCCTAAACAGGCCATTCTTGCCAGCTGTCATGCGCTACAGGGCAAAGAACAGGAGAGAGACATGGTGCTCCGGCGCTTGAGCGATGCTGAGACAAAACTTGCCACCCTGAAGTTAATGGAAAGTACTGCCACCGACTCTGTTCCAGTGAGTCAGAGTGAGTGTTACAACCTTGTATTGCTTTGGACTGCTGTTGGTGGAGCTGTTTCCTTGTTGCATTACATTGTTCTGCCCGTCAAATTCAATCTCTTGCTTCCCACTTCTCCCATTTTTCTTCAGAGATGTTGGAGCGTTTTCTCCTCGTTGGCCCCTTTCTTAGCAACCATGCTGCCAGAGGTCCTCGACTTCTCACCTCCTCAACCGCGTACAGCTCAACCCCTTCCTAGCTAACTCCCGACTTCATATAGTTCTGAAACGCATGATGCAATGTTTACATTATATGGTGATTTGCTGGCCGATTTTCAATAGTAGGCTGAACCAGCATGCAATTATTACGAGTTCCTAGCTCTCCTATTGTATCGCATATCTTTTTTGTGTAGTTGAAACCCGTGGGATCCTCCTCCCCTTCGGAGATGCATCTCCCATGACTCGTCGACGCCACCTGGAAGTTCGTCCACGGTGGATCCACGTCCGCAGGGATCAGAGTGCGTGCACCAATTTTCATTTCGCCTGCCCGTTTCGACATGGTTTCGCTTTCCGGTACAAGAGGCTATCGAGCAGGGCCTTTCTTCATGTCACGTGACCTCGGCATCATTCGTGCATTTTTCTATGGGTGGGTGTTTTTCATATTGACTCGCAGAAAACAGCTTAGCTTGCTGGGCTGTCATCCTCTGGACCAGTCAGGGATCGCGCGCGAGTGCCACAGCCACCACATATTTCAGGGCTTTCGTCCACGTCAGTCGTCCTCGTCAGCCTTGGGATGAGCACTTGTGAACAAATGCCCGATTGGCTTGATTCGAAATTCAGGCCAGGACAATTCAGAATGTGGAATCAATTCAGAACTCCTCCCTTTGAAGACTTTCTATCAGACCGCAGGCAGTAACCATCCAGGACGTTTTCCAATTCATCAGGCTCTTAGTTCATCAGGCTGCTTGTATCCTAGCTGCTTGTGCTTGTTGGGAGGGACTGTCTACCTACTAGACGCGTGCTGTGCCTTACGGATTCTCCTGACTGCACCCGTACAGCAGCTAATTAACAACCAGTCATGATGCGTAACGGGGCCCTCCGTGTTCTGGCCGCTGCCATGGCCAGGCACTCAGCAGCCTCAGCCAGCGTGCCAGCACCCTTGGGAGGAGCCTCTCTGGCTCCTGCCGCCGGAACCATGCCTCAAATCCTCCACCGGGGATTTGCCGGCGATGCCAACCTGAAGCGCACTCCCCTGTACGACTTCCACGTGGCAGAAGGCGGTAAAATGGTCCCTTTCGCGGGCTACAGCATGCCGATCCAGTATAAGGACAGCATCATCGATTCCACCCTTAATTGCCGGACCAACGGTAGCCTGTTCGACGTCTCCCACATGTGCGGGCTCAGCCTCAAGGGCAAGGATGTGATTCCTTTCCTCGAGACGCTGGTGGTTGGAGACATAGCGGCTCTTAAGGACGGCACTGGTACCCTGTCGGTTTTCACGAACGAGAAGGGTGGGATCATTGATGACACGGTTATCACTCGGGTTACCCCTTCGCACATCTACCTCGTCGTCAACGCCGGCTGCCGCGAGAAAGATTTGAGTGAGTGGTTTCTCTGAAACGAATCTGCATGTCTACATAATTCACCTTATCCTCGCGGTACTACTTCACTTGCCTAAAGAGGTGACACGTCTACAGCTGCCTCAATTTCCCCCGTCACAGTCCAAGCAATCCCTGTTCCCAAGACTACCCATGGAGACATTGAGTAACACGGGTCAAGCTCCTGCTATCAAGACATTTATTACCGTAATCTCATCTCTTTAATTACCTCCATCTCACTCGCATTCCCTCTCCCTACCACACATTGCCATTGCAGAGCACATTGGAGCTCATTTGGAGGCGTACAAGGCGGCCGGGAAGGACGTCTCGTGGGTGATTCACGACGACCGTGCGCTGCTGGCGCTGCAGGGCCCTCTGGCGGCGCCAACGCTGCAGCCGCTCGTCGCGACGGACCTCTCCAAGATGGCCTTCAGCGATTTCACCATGCTCAAGATCGACGGCCACGACTGCTTCCTCACTCGCACGGGGTAAGCATTTTCGTTGACCGGACTGTGATAGGTCCCGGTGATGGAAATTGTATTTGAATCGCGTGCTTGCGTCGTGGCGCTAAAACGGTGCGCATTAATGTGTAGCCTCGTGAGTGACGTAGACCAAATGACCCTAAAATCGTCTCGGGATGGTCTCCGCCTAACGGTGAGGCTGATGCTAACTCACCCTATCATTGTGACATTCCACACTCTTTCCCTTCTCCCCATTTCCAGCTACACTGGAGAGGACGGTTTCGAGATTTCCGTGCCCAATGAGAACGCGCTGGCTCTTGCCAAGAAGCTTCTTGAGGTGAGCGAGGGCAAGGTGAGGCTCACCGGCCTTGGCGCCCGCGACTCCCTCCGCCTGGAGGCCGGACTCTGCCTCTACGGCAACGATTTAACAGAGGAAATTACCCCGATTGAAGGCGCGCTGGCGTGGACAATCGGGAAGAGGCGACGGGCAGAGGGAGGGTTCCTGGGAGCTGACGTCATTCTGCAACAGCTGAAGGATGGACCTGCCAGGAGGCGAGTGGGGTTGACGTCTACTGGCGCCCCTGCTAGAAGCCATGTAGAGATTCTGGATAAGGAGGGGAATGTGGTCGGGGAGGTGACCAGTGGAGGGTTCAGTCCGTGTTTGAAGAAAAACATTGCGATGGGGTATGTGAAGAATGGGCTGCATAAGGCGGGGACGGAGCTGAAGGTGGATGTGAGGGGGAAGATGAATGACGCTGTGATTGCCAAGACGCCGTTTGTTCCCACAAAGTATTACAAGCCATGAGCAGATGGTGGGATGCTGCAGATGCTCTGGTTCGAGGTGGTGTAGGTGAGGAGCCTAGACTCGTAGGGTCTGTTGTGTATGTACACGAAAGACTGCATGATTGGATTGTTTCACTTGGGGCAGTCTGAGTACTTCCTGTGACCAATTACTGAAAATGCCCTCAAGAGAATTGCTTAGTATCAATGAGTTATCCCATACCTAGGTTGGGGGAAATACGTTAGGCATGTGTGAGAGACGTGGCTCTTCTGGTAATATTGGAACAGTACATGGTTGATATGGTGTCTATAGACACAGCATGGTTGCCAGTGGTTCATGCCTTGCTGAAATGGGGCTTTGATAGCAATGGTCGTATACTATGTGTGGAATCCCTCGAATTGTGCTATTGCAAGTATGAATGCAGACGCACAACCTAAATGTACACAACAACTCTTGGGTGTACATTGTCATTAACGAGCAGTGAGCTTTGACTGTGCTATTTTGTCAACGACGGTGTTCGCAACCATTGGCAGCTTTCCAAAGTCGTCAGACATCCAAGGAGCTGATGACTCCTCGTCCATTCATCATCATTCCCCAGGGATCTGGATCTTTCCTAAAAAATGGATGTGTCCATCCAATAAAAACTCGCGCTGACCGAAGAACATCATCTGAAAGCCTCCGAATTTATTAGGCGCGGCGCGATGTGTGGTGCGGTGCGGACAGATCTGTTCTGGCTGGAATAGCCACTGGAATCCTAGCCACACAGACAGAATCCGTTTTCATCACACTCACACGCCATCCACGCCATCCACGCCATCCACGCCATCCACAACCCGTCTGCACAGATATGCTATCCCCTCTCATTTTCCCCTGCCCGAATCTGCATGTTAACTTGTTTACAAAACTGTACTGTCTGTGCACCACAAAAACTCACCGTCCAGGTGCCCAGCATCTCTTCTCCGCATTAGGGGCTGGTAGCTGCCCGAACTCTCAGCCATCACCACACCACCACCCACCAACCATCAGTCACACGACCTTGAAGCTCGCTGCCACATCACCCGCCGTCCACTTTCGTTGCGCGCCAAAAAATCAACTTCCTTCTTTTCTGATAATGAGTGCTTCAACCTCTCAACCTCCAGGTTCTGCGGAAACTCCGCACCTTCAAGAGCTGCCGCGTGGATAAAAAAACACCGCGAGCTAATTAGCACTTGGACCGCACGTCCACGTGTGACATGCGCGGCGCGGTCTAACTGCCCTCGCCCACCCAATTCCCCCAATGCTCTCCTAGAAATTGTCACTCTCACAGCACCAGATGATTGATGATTCCATTGCGTTTGCCTTTCAACTCGCACGGCTGTACAGTACATCACTACAGTTCACTGTACACTTCACAAATGTACTGTACTGTACATTTAACAAATGTACTGTACACTCTTACGTGACCTTCCATCCGGGTTTTGGCAAAATTCGTGCGGCTGGCAATGAAGGCCTGTGCAGCGAGAGCACAGATTCTGCCTCGGCTCCACTGCACCCTGCTTCCTCAACTTGCTCTGCTCATCTCCGCTCCACTCGGTTGCACCTTGCTCAGCTCAGCTCACCTCATGCAGAGCTCTCCTTTGCTCTGCTCGTCTCTCCTTGTATGGTCACTTGTCCACCCCCAATACTGAAGGAAAGGCTGATCATTCTACCATAGCAGGGACGGAGAAAGGATGATAGAGCGTGAACTACGCTTGTTCTAAGCTTCTTTACGGACGCCAATCCGCGAGCAATACTCATCTTCCTACAATTTCCTGGTTTGGATATCATCTTGCTGAATCGATTCGAGTGTCCAGACGCACACGAGTCACAACCCACGAGCCTCCGGCTTTCCTTAGCGCGATCCGTTTAATCGGTTCCCCCACTCCGCCATGGTCTCCCCAGATCCCTCATCCGATTGTGAAAATCGAAACAAGGAAAAAAACGATGGCGGATCTTCCGTTCAGAATTTCCGTATTTTCGGCGTTAGCTTAGCGCAGCCGCCCCTGAATTCCACTCCGCAGCCGGCAGGGCCTGTCGAGTTTACGCCGTCGATTCCGCTCCGCACGTCCTCCCCCGCGGAAGGCATGCGCAAGTGCGCAAGTACGAGCGCACTGGCGGATCTTAGCCGCCGCCGCAATCTGGCCTCCGCAGGCGCAGGCGCGCGGATGCGCTCCCCCCTGTTCCGCCCGGTCGTGGGGAGCGTCGGGAACAGCATGGATGAGGACAGCGCGGCGGACGATGATGCAGACGTGGAGGAAGCGGGGGAAGCGGGGGAAGCGGAGGAGGGGGAAGAGGAGAGGAAAGCGGGGCGGGAAGTCCGTGCTCCCCGCGGGAGCGCGCCGCAGCGGCCGCCAGCAGATCCGGAGTCATCCGCCGGCAGCGGCGGCGGCGGAAACGGCGGCGCAAGGGAACGGAGAGAACCGGGCGGAGGAGACGGGGAAGGAGCGCGACAGGCGGTGGCAGCGGCGCGCAGTGAGGGCTCGAATTGCACGCCGCAACCCGCGGGAAGTGAAGTCGCGAACGCGCCGATGGGCGGGCGGGGGTCCGGGGTGGGCGGACGAGGAGACGGAGGAGGAGGCGGAGGGGGGCACATGGGCGGAACGGCGTCGTCCAGGGAGCGCAAGAAGGGGATCGCGTGGACAGAGGAGGAGCATCGGTTGTTTCTGATTGGTCTGAGCAAGCTGGGGAAGGGCGACTGGCGCGGGATCTCACGGAACTACGTGACCACGCGCACGCCGACGCAGGTCGCGAGCCACGCGCAGAAGTACTTCATCCGCCAGGGGAACTTGAACAAGCGGAAGCGGCGGTCGAGCTTGTTCGATATAAGCACAGACGTGGTACGTGAATGCGTGATATAGTGTGTGGTTACCCATCCTGAGCGAATTCTGGCTTATAACTTCGCGACTCCCTCTACACCCTTTTTTGAGGCGCCTCAAAAACCCTTTTCCTAGTTCCTGTCCGATTCGCCGTCACCACCTGCCTTTCCCTTCACCGATTCCCCGCTCCTCCTCACGTTATCCCCGCGTTCCCCTTCTGGTCCGCCGCAGCTGGCGGACGAAGCGGCGGCGACCGCCGTCATGTCTCGCTCCGTGAGCACGCCGTCTCTCCCGTCGCTCGCCTCCCCCGCTCTTCCCCGTGCGCCATTCCCGCATCCCCCCCCATCCTCCCCTTCCCTTTCCTCCCCGCAGCTATCGGAAGAAGCGGCGGCGACGACGACGATCATGTCGCGCTCCATGAGCACGCCATCTCTCCCGTCGCTCATCTCCTTTCCCCTCTGCCTCGTCTCCCCCTCAATCCCGCCCTTCCCACCCACTCGTGTCTGTACCCCCCGCAGTTGGCGGAGGAAGCAGCAGCCACCACCATCATGTCTCGATCCATGAGCACGCCGTCTCTGCCGTCGCTCATCTCTCCCGCTCCCCTCTCTGCGTCACTTCCCCCCTCCCATCCCGCAGCTAGCGGAAGAGGCGGCGGCGACGACCATCATGTCGCGATCCATGAGCACGCCGTCTCTCCCGTCGCTCCGCGACGACCCCAAGCTGCTCCCCTCCGGAATCTCCGCCGGACTCACCGCCGTCTCTTCCGCCGCCGCCATCTCCGCGCTTTCGCCCTCCGCCTCCGCGCTTGCCTCCCCGCAAGCGCTCTCCCGCCACGCGCTCCATCAGGCGCTTCCGCACGCGCGCGCGTTCTCCCGCCCGTATCAGCTCCCCAACACCGCGCAGACCCTCCCCCCGCCCTCCTACACCGCGCACTCCTCCGCTTCCGCGCATCCTTTCGCCCCTCCCGCTTCGGCGCACGGTTTTCTCGATCTAAGCCGCTGCCAGTCATATCCCGCCGTCCACATGCTCGAGTGCGGAAGCCCTTACGACAATTCCGCCGCTTCCGCCGCCGCCACCGCCGCCGCCGCCGCCGCCCGCGGCGGCGCACTTTCCGCCGCATTGATGCCCCTCACGCGTCCGATGTCGCTGCCGTCCCTTCACCCGGCCTCCATCCCGGAAACTTCCGCCATTCCCCCGGTCGATCTAGGCCCCGCGCATTTCCTCCCCTCCCCGCATGGCTTCTCCGCGCATCCGCAATCCCAGCCCCCCCAGTGGCACCTGCTCTCCGCTTCTTCCGCCAATGCCTCCGCTGCCGCCGCCAACTCTGCTGCGCGCGGACCTATGGCGCTTGACCACCGGTCAATGGGCGCCGGGGGCGCTGTCGGTGCGGGGAGTTCCGCCGCCTCCGCCGCTGCCGTTGCCGCCATGAATCGCGCGCGGGATCAGAGCATGGCCGCGCTAGGGGCGGGACACGCGGGCGCAGGGCTCGGCGCGCTTGCAGACGCAGCAGCAGCGCGGCACAGAATTGGGCATGAGATGATGATGCAGATGGGGCACGAAGCAACGGTTCAGATCGGACACGAGCTGGCGCAACGGATGGCCAGGATGAGCCAGGCGGCTGAGCGGGCAGGGGCGGAGGGGGCCAGTCCGATGCTGCTAGGGGGGAGCAGCAACGTGGAGAAGAGAACGAAGCTGGAGAGTGGCATAGGGTTTCCTAGTGCTGGTGCGGCAGGCGGGGGTAATGGTGCTGCTGCTGCGGCGGCAGCCGCGGCTGCAGCAGCTTGTGGGGGCTCTGCTTTCTCCCCCTTCCGGTCAGGAATGCCTGCTCCTGGTGCTGCTGTTGCGGCTGCTGCTGGTGCTGCTGGAGCTGGTGGTGGTGCCACCGCAGCAGCATACCTATCCACTTCTCCCCCGTCTACCTACCCATATGGTCCCCTCTCGTCCTCTCCCCCCGCCGGGTACCCCTCCAGCTATCCCTACTCCTCGTTCCTTTGGCCTAGAAGCACGTCGCACTTCCCATCGGCTGCTTCCGCTGCTGTCGCGGCAGCAGCAGCTGCTGCACAGCAATCCGCCTTCTCTACTGCTTCTCCTGGTGGTGCTGGTGGTGGTGGTTCTGGTCCTGCTGCTGCTGCCAGCACTTGGCATTTGTCAGGAGGTCAGTTAACACCTGGTCAGATTAACCTGCCCCAGGGGCAGCCGAGACTCACAGTTCCTGCAGCCTCTGCCACAACTGCTGTTGCTGCTGCCTCTTCTGGTGCCCCTGATGCTGCTGCTGGTAGTTTTCCATTGGCCACTGCAGCTGGTGAGGGTAATCTGGCTGCTGCTGCTGGAGTTGTGGCTGTATCTGGTACTCGCACAGTCCCCACCACTAC